GGAGCTGGCGGTGGGTGCCACGGCGGTGGACCCGAACGGGGTGGTGGGGCCCGCGGCGGAGAAATGCGACTGGTGGTGGTGGCGCTGTTGCTGCATTGTTTGGATTTTTTGAGATCAGATTGGCGTGAGAGAGAGAGAGAGAAGGGGGTATGAGTGAGAGACAGTGAGGGAAGAAATATAGGGAGAGAGAGAGGACGAGGCGCGTGTGGGCCTGGAAAGGCGCGGGAGATAAAGGCGGGGTTTCGCGCGCTGATTTTGAAACATAAACTAATGGGGAGGAGCGGAGGGCTGTTCTGACGTGAACGTGTTCAAATTACGAAATTGACCTGGGGTTGGGTGAATGGCGCGATTAATCTTGCTGTGAATTTTGGAATTTTCTTGATAATTAATTAATTTTGATTGAAAATCAGATTCGCCTGATCGCCGAAAAGGAAGGTTTTCCCGCGTTCGATTTGGGAATTTAATTTTTGTTACGGGGAGATTATTTACTTATTAAGGCAGCATGCATGATTTGGGACAATCTCATTTGACTACGACTCAAAATGATAACGTCACATTTTGAAATTTTTTTTCTTTTTTCCAAACACGTTTTCATTAATTTGGAACAAATGAATAAGAAATCGGAGACTGAAAATGATTTTGGAAAGAAAAATATGTTAGAAATGGAAGATGCCGTTTGGTGGACCGTTTGATTCATGTTCAAGGAATTTGTATGCAATGGATGGAGGCATGATGTATTATCATTTTCACGGATAGGGTCAAACATTTTTTGTTTTTACATGTGTTTTCCTAATTCAAGTTTTCTATAATTTCATATGTTAAACTGCCTAAAATGTGTTTTTCTAATTCACGATATTATATATTTGAATACGCTGAAATTACACAAAAAATCAAATTTAATATGAAAATTCATTTATCGTAAAACACGTGAGATAATTGATAAATGGTGATAGAACAAACTCCGAACAATCCTTTTTAATTTTTGTGTGAAGTAGTCACGTTTTCGAATTAACTTTTTAACGCTTTTGTGCATACAATACAAGTTGTTTAATAACATATAAAACTGAAACACTTTTTTAATTTTGACGATAAGTCAGTTTCAATATATAAGATTGAAATTCATCACCCATTCTAATCCAATACCAATCATATCAGATCAGATCGCCATATTGGCTGCATATTGACGTATTAAAATTCAAACCAATGAACACCCCGAAAAGAATTCATAAAAAATTGAGTCAAAACCAACATGGGCCTATTGGGCCATAGTTTTGTCTTTGTCACCAGAAATATTAAAAAAGTCCCCACCAACATATTAAATTCTCAATTGAACAAAATTAGAAACCGTTTGGGCATGCTATACATGCTTTAAAATGAGTTAGGTAGGTCATATCATGATTCATAGGGAAGAATCTCGTAAGCAATTAATATAATGTAAGCCCTAAGCATAGTCCAACCAACATTAAACATTATATTCGTTTCGTACTGTTTATGTTATTATCTTATATCATGACTCATATTCATATACGTATGTCCGCAAGTCTCGAATTTATGATCATATTATTACTAATTAGCTCTTAATTCAGTGAAGATTATCGATGTGGCCAACTTTTAAAATTAAAACCAAAGTAATTCTTTAAATTCCCATTATACAATCAAACGTGCACCTTCATCTCTATTTGTATTTTTTTTTTCTCACATATCATAAACGGAAACGATATTTCATAGATAAACTTTCTATCATCAAAAAGAGGTTGTGGTGGGGTGCATAATTGAGTTGTGAAAGTAAATTTGATAATCATTGAGATGATCAGTCTCGGTTGGTGCTTGCAATGTGATTGAAGATATTTTGGTTCACTGTTTTTATTGGGTGCTTAGCAATGTCTATGCTTTGACTATTTGTCTTCGTTTTCCCTATTTGACTATTTGGTGCTTAGCAATGTCTATGCTTGCAATGTGATTGAAGATATTATGTTTAGAGACAAAAGGTTTTCTCTATTTGTTTTCGTTTTGTTATGATTTTTCTCAAACCATCATAGGCGGTTACGTCTCGGCATCGGATCTCCACTTGCGTTTCGGCGTCGGATCTCCACCACTATCCTTTTTGCGGTTTCTTTATGTTCGGAACAAATCACAGAGACTCTTTAGGTTTTTTGTGTAGTTTTCAGCTCTTACCCACCAATAGGAATAGGACACGTGTAATAATTTATTTTTAGCCTTAAAATTGCAGTAACTTTTAACTCTGTTAGCCTTTTAACTCCGTTAGCCTTTCGCTGCAACTGTTAGCCATTTTTTATTTATCAAATTTCAGTTTTTCAAACAAAACCCTAAAGAACCCTTTTGCCGTCAGATACAGCAGCCTGCTGTACGTTTTCATGGACAAAGAAAAAGGTGATGACCTGCACCCTACTCCCACATGTCTTTACTTTTTTAGTTTCCGGGACTGTTTCATGAGTTGTGGTTTCATTGGATTATTATATTGTGGTTTCATTGGATTATTATATTGTGGTTTGAGTTACTTTTGAGTGTAGTATACATATATATATATATTTTTATATATGCTTTGCTCAGTTACTTTTGGGTTACTGTTTCATGAGTTTTGGCTCATTGGATTATTATATTGGTTTTGCTCGAGGTTCTTTGAACATTGGGGGTTGCCTCCCCAAACATCAACTTATGCATATGTATTGGCTTTGCTCCAGCATCGTTTTTTAATTTCTTTTAATTTCTTTTTTTTTTCTTCCTATAGTTATTCATTATCATCTCACAAAAATTATTTCTTCCTCAACTTCCTCAAAACCCATATAAAAAAACCCACCATTTCGACCCCAATCTTCCTCAATTCTCTCTTTTGCTCAGATTGTGCTTTGAAGTTTAACAAGGGGGAGTTCGATAATTTGGAGAACAAAAGAGAGAATTGAGAAATAAAAATGGGAAGACAGCAAAAGCCTAACTGAAGATCGGTAACAAAGACAAAGTTAAAGGACTAACGGAAGATTGGTAACGGAACAAATAGTTAAAATGCTAAAAATAAATACATCACGTGTCCCTACAAAAATTTCTCCATTTTGTGAGAGCTTTTCATATCTCATTTGTGTGAGCTTTTTCATTTTTCATTTGTGAGAGTTTTATTTGTATTGTTATAACTTGATTTTTTTAAAGCTTTATATCTTTTTTATTATTCTTAGTTTGCAATCTTAATTGGGATGCCTATGCCAGAGTTTCTTCGATCTTGCTTGATCGTTGGTGGAAGCGCACAAGATTATCTTAATTTTGATATTACACCACTCCGTTATTGTAATGACCCTTTGTGGCTAGTTTGTATTGGTGGCTAATAGTTTTTTTTTAAAAAAAAAACTAAATTATGAATGCAATCCAAGAATTTCTCAAAAAAAAAAGAGAGTAATATATATGCTTTGAATGGTAGTTTCTGTGTGTGTTTTGATTGGTATTGTCAATAATTAGAGTGTAGCGTATCATATCCAAGCAATTATAATTGAAGTGATCTTGTTTGTGCTAGTGTCACGTTTGAAGTGATATTGTAGACCCAAATAATCACTCAAAGCAAATAATAATGTACTAGTTAGACGATGCGAAGGGATTGAGTACACTCCACTCAAGAAAAACCACACTTTGATTCGGTCCTCATCAACCCCCATCCACCATATTCCAGCCTCTATTAACACAAATGGTCCACGTTTATGATTTGCAGACAACTTATCAAAGGATCTTTACACAAAACGAATAATTTCGTAAACAAAAAGTAGACAAGTCGTGGTTTGAAAACGACGTTTAATTATTTTGGCCAGCTGTTGTTACTTAATTTTCTCAAATTATTATTGCCATTAGCTAGATGTATAGACGCAATTTCCATGAAAGATATCACATAAATATCCTCTCTAAGAACATCACATGCTATGCGTCACTAATTCACACGTCAACAAGCACTATGATCACATAAAGCAAAGTTGGATTTCGATTCCATTGTTGAATATCTTGGAAACATACTTCAACAACCCTAATTAAAAAATCAAAATAAATAATATTGCTTCAAAATAAATAAATAAATAAATAAATATATATATATATATAATATACTGTATTGTTGGCTTAATATAAAGAAAACATATGGTTATGAAAATCGTATATAATAATTAATTAGGGACATGAAGTAATTCATTTTGGTATATACAAGATTATCCAACTTAATCACGTCACAGAATCTCTGCAAATCTAATAAAATGACAAGAACCCATGTGGTGGACAGGACAGGCATTCACCTGCCACCTTGAATTAGTACAGAAACTAATCTTTATTTTCAATAATACTCGATGCATCTAGAGTATCTCAAATTATCAATAACTCAGTTCATAAAGTGAAAGCATACATGTTACCCATTTTACATTTGAGTTCAATAGAATTTATCTCTCCATAATTTAGATTAAATTAAAATATAATATCACTTATATATAAAGTAACGAAGTGAAAATGGCGTGAGAATTATCAAATTAGGCACATATATTAATAAGAAAAAATAAATTGGACACACAATTTCCTTCTTTCTTGTTATGTCAAATGTTACGTTAGGCAAGTGGCGGCAAACTATACCCAAGCGTTCAACCCGCGAAAGCTTTCTCGAAGACTGAAAGATGGTCAACGTGGGCTTCCATGACCAATGAGGACCTCGTGTACCACATGGAAGTAAAGTATTCAGAAAAATACATTGACTATATACAAATA